ACAAGAGAGACATTAAAAAATGCCTTTATGCTAAATAAAATATAGTTAAAGTTACAATGGGAAAACCTGGAAGGCTGTATCAAATTAATATAATTTGTAAAATGTTTATGAAATTAATGACAGTAACTGGGTTGACATCATAGGACTGTCACAGGACTGACCAGAACAGGGATGACAGGACACACATTCTTCAGCACACTGCACATATTTGTTTACGTAATACTGTACAGTTTTACAATTTTAAGTTGCATTATATTGTTTTGCACTTACTTAGCATAGTTGTATGACAATAGTAAACAGTCAAATTTTCAGTTAAAGTCAGTTCATTGTTGATTTAGCATATTAAATTTCTAAGAGATCTAACGTTTTAAGGGTATTGTAATTAGATAATGCGTCCATCTGTTTGTCTGTGTCCCCTCACAGAACTTAATCCTCATGTTTTCGTATTTTTGTCAACCCTGTTACCGACAGAAGCGTTACTAGATACTATCATTTAATTAGAACTATGTGATAGTTCTCATATATATGAGCAGCATTTTAGTCCTCTTTTCACTGGGATTGTTTCAAATTTTATATTTTTTTATATTTTTATATTTGTTACTCAGATTACCAAGAACATCCTAATTTTGGAGGGTGACCACATGTAAATTAAGAATATATATATATATATATATATATATATATATATATATATGGACTGTCACAGGACTGACCAGAACAGGGATGACAGGACACACATTCTTCAGCACACTGCACATATTTGTTTACGTAATACTGTACAGTTTTACAATTTTAAGTTGCATTATATTGTTTTGCACTTACTTAGCATAGTTGTATGACAATAGTAAACAGTCAAATTTTCAGTTAAAGTCAGTTCATTGTTGATTTAGCATATTAAATTTCTAAGAGATCTAACGTTTTAAGGGTATTGTAATTAGATAATGCGTCCATCTGTTTGTCTGTGTCCCCTCACAGAACTTAACATATACTGATCTGGTTCAATTATTAGGCAAGGAAGATGATCAGATCTCGGTCTTTCTGTGATCATCTGAAACCAGACCAAGATCATGACTTTCTTGAACATTGCAAGACTGGGGTGAAGGTCTGCAGTCCCCTTGCTGCTCTTGTTGTAATTGAATTTACATGGATGCATTATTGACAATGAGTTATGGAGAAAAAAAAAGAAGAGTTTTATTGAGACTGATCATCCTATCCTGGTCATTAACAACAACAGTAATAGTAACAGTGCCAATAATACAAACTAAAATGTAACTCATGCTTATATGCCACTGAATGATATAGCTATTAGCTTAAAATTACACCCAGGGTTACCTTTAAAAATGTTTGCATTTTACACAGACAATCTTTAAAAACAGGGTGACACCTAATCTAGGTCATCCCTGTTACCCAAATGTCAAAACCTGTTATCCTGAAAAGTAACAGGGATGACAGTAACAGGTTTGACAATTTCAAACTAATTTGCTAATTTCTAACTAATAGTCAAGTTCACAAAAGCACATGTTGTACACTTTGAAAGGATTTTACTAGTAGATATTGACTATATTAAATGTAATAAATAATTGTTTAAATTTACATTTTAAAAATGGTAACAGTATTGACACAGCATGATGCAATCCCCCCACCCCCCACCCAAGCCTCATAAATGATCAAAAATAGAACATTATAGAAGTGAGAGAGAAATGTGCTTGTGTTTTAAATGTAGGCATCCTGGTTGAGAGATGATGTAACCTCCTATCACTTGAATTTACATTATTTTACAAAGGTTTTTTGATGAGAGTAACAGGGCTGACATGAAATCAAGGGACACCAATAAAAATATTTAAATTTTATAGAAAAAATGCATACCTGTGCCAAAAACATTGCTTAACAATTAGACTATATATTTAAAACAATATGCAAATTTGATTTTTATATAATTTTGCCTTCATTTTGTAAATTAAAAGTCCTGCTGAAAAAGAAAAATCATAGTGAGGGACAGGCCAAAAACCTTACCCTTACCCTACATAAATGCTATTTAAATTATTTAAAATAATATTTAGTTGACTTTTTTTATGTAATATTGATGAAAGAATACAATACATATACATGTGTGTGTTTCAGTAACTGACTGACGGACTAATCTCAATTTCTTTCCTCAGTTTAGTTATCAGTATTTGCAAAATCCTTTATCAGTCATCCTGTAATATCTCTAATATCTTAGGATCCTAGAATTCAATGCACTATATCATATTTCAGTGCATCAAATGAATATCACCAATGGTGTAACACGATAAACCCGCTCTTCTATTCCCAAAAGTGTAATAAATCAGTAGCCTCCTTGTGTAAGCCAGAGTAAAGCAGTTTTGAAAGCCTCTGAGGCTACCGTCATACTCCACAGCTGGTACGGGACACACTTCCCTATCTGGTTTCTTCAGTTAGCAGATGTTTGAGTGTCTGGTGCTGTAACTCCCCAAACAAGGGTAGTGTACAGAGCCTCTGCTGAAGCTGCATTACTTTCCTGAGGGAGGAATAAAACGGGCATCTCTGTGTCTAAGTGTAATGAGATGGAAACACATTTATGGATTCGAGCTACTCCGTTTGCAAGAATACAAGTTAACTGCACACAGCCCCCTTTTCGCTCGCCTCTGGTCTGTTTTCAACACAGGTTTTTAATGTGCTACTTATCACTTTGCACCTGGTTGTAACAGTTTCAGGGCCATGATTGGTTGTAGTTTTTAAACATTAACTACAAATATATATATATATATATATATATATAAGAATATATAAGAAAGAAGTATCTTATGCTCACCAAGGCTTATTTAATTGAAAATACTGTGCAGTTTAATATTTTTGTGGAAACTGATCATTTTTATCAGGATTATTTGATGAATAAAAGATTGAAAAAACAACATTTATTTGAAACAGATAATTTTTTTCTAATAAAGCAAGTCTTGTCAGTTTTGATCAGTTTAATGCGTCCTTGCTAAATCAAAGTATTTATTTCTTTATAAAAAAATACTGGCTCAAAATTTTTTTAATATATCAACGAATTTCCATTTGTATGTCAGATACAAATCTTTTAAAATAATAGCAATTAGCAAATCAACAGACTCTGACTTAAAAACTCTCAAAGAGCAAAATTTTGCATATGTAATATTTAAATTTATCTAGTCCATGAAGAAAAACATATTTACATATTCATTAGAACGTTTCATTAATTTGCCTTGACTTTTGTATTTACTTCCATAACATTTCCAGGCCTGGAAAAACATCTTAAATGTTTACTTTTGAAAATTGCCAGATATTTTCAGGTATTTCTATGACTGAGGAACTCTTTTAAATTTGTACTACATGGCTAAACACAATATAACAACTATCAACATACACCGCTACACTAAAAATCTGACTTTTGTGCTAAACAAAGCTGCTGTTTACTACCTGTGTGGTGGCTAGTGAGCACAGAGTCAGTTCAAGCTTGCAGAGCAATGCTTTCCATGTGGCTCCAAGTAAATGGCGTACATGTAGGGGTTTATTTGCAGGAGATAAAGGCATTAAGAAATGATTTTACAGGAACTCAGTGAGATGAAGAACTTGTGTCACTATCTATAACAGAACTAGTGTGGCTCTCTGACCTGTACTCGCAAGGAGATTCTTCACACATGGCGTGAGCTTCGGGATCAGCGGGAGTTTCCTCCTTTTCCTTCACTGCAAAGAAAAAAATGCAAAGATGTTATTTATCATAAAATATCATTATACTATTCTGGGAGATTTGACTGCAGTGAAATTACAACATTCAAGGAGAGTGCATTGTGTATCATTTTCTCAGTTGCTTTTGAAATTTCTTGCCTTGATATCATTTAAAAAATGACATTGTTATTCATAAGAGATAATATGTTATCCACTTGTTTTGCAATTGCTGAGCAAACATTCAATACATCATATTCTCCAAATTTGGGAGAATATTTTCTATTTTGCTTTGTGGAAGCACATCAAGGACACTGACTGCCTTTTAGATAAACTACTGTGTGCTAGTAAGACATGGTCTTACTGGAGAAAACTTGAATTATTTTCAGCTTGGTAAGTTATAAATAACCTATATGTAAACAGCCACAGTGATGTAAGAACAAAGTGTTTAAAATGGTCTAATAATGCCTTAAGATTTATTCCATAAGCTCCATAAGGCTTCTTATGCATTTTAATGCATGCAAGTGTCTGTTGCAATAATCCAGTCAGGACATAATTTGTTCTTGAATCCATTAAAAGCATTTCATATTGGTTAACTTAAATATACATGTGAAGAGCAAAGGGAGACCAGTAGGAGCAGGTGAGGACAGACCAATAAAGCTCACTGATCTCAGGTTATCCGTCTGACACTGCTAGTAATAAGTCTATGGGTTAGTGCGACAGAGCCACACAACACAAAGCTAACAAAAGCACCAAGCTAAGGTGTAAATGCTTTGACTGCAGAGAACTGTGAGCTTGGACAGAGGTCTGTGTGACCTCTGAAGCTGTTTGTGTCTTACCTGCGTACTTGCCGCCTTTGTTCTTGAGCACAAAACAGCCGATGAGGACAAGCAGAGTTAGTAATGCCACCGCACACATCATCACTACAAACCACTCCTGGGATGCCATGAGTTGTTTACTAGGCACTGCAAGGACAAGAGAGAGTTTGTTTTTGGAAAAATTTGATTCATGTTGTCAACTTGAAAATATGGGAAAATAATTTTCTTTTTGGGTTAGAAGAACACATTTCAAATGGCGTTTTTAAATATGGTTCCTGTGCCAAATTCTGATCTGGTTTGTCAAATGAGAACAATTAGAACACAAAGAGTATTTAAATGGATCATAAACATTTTAATTACTTGAAGTGTACTCCTTATAGCAAAAATAGTTAACTTCTGCACATTTGATGAATTGAACACATTTGCCACCAGTTCTCTGGCATAAATGGCTCTTCTGAGGCTGTGGGTTTGCTGACAAATTTAAATGATCAGGAACCCAGTTGCAAATAAATTTCAGTCACTTGTCCGTCGGAAGCATATGCAGAGCTGTAGGTGCTACATCTAGCAGTCATACATAATTCAGTGGCATTTTCATTAGTTCTTCTGGTGTTTATGAATAACATTATCTACCCTACTTCCTCTGTATTACCTCGCACTGAATAGATGGGCCAAGTTTTTGTCAAATATAGAGTAGGCATTGTTGCCGTGTAGATGTTGGCCGTTATGTCCAAAGGTCTGTCTGTCTGTTTGATATCAGAAAGTTGCAGGTAACAAGCTGTTCCCTTTCAGTCGGTCACTCTCGACATAACGTCGGTGACCGACGAATTGGGATCTCACCAGAGAGGCCAATCCACTTTGAGTGTAACTAAATGAGCCAATAGACATTGGCATGCGGAATTCGCATCTGGCTGCCACACCCCGCAGCGCGGGTATAAGAAGCAGCAGGTGCACCGCATTTATTCATCTTTTCACTTCGGAGCCGAGCGGTGGTGAATCACTACTGCTCTTCTCTTCGAGTGATTGCAGAAAGCGAGTGCAGGCGTTACAGCAGACAGCAGCAGTGGTCACAGTCTCATGGGAATCATCCTGCGTGCAGACAGCCACACCAGGAGTGTGTGGTGGCCAGCTCCCCTGCGTGTTTCAGCACTAAAAGAGCAATCCCTAAAAGAGCAACACGGGTGATCGCGTCTTTTTAAAGATGTCTCATC